CATCCTGACTTGTTTATAGACTCTAACAACTGAGTCCAGGGGACTGTGCCATTCTCACCCAGCCAGACTTTGATGAAGGCAGTGGACAGGCTGACCTCTGGGTAAGATCATTTCCCCTGTACTATCCAAGAAGTCTTATGCAATGGGTATGCCATTCACTAATTGTGGCGTTTCTGAGAACACTGTTTCAGAAGCGTGGGCCCCACTTTATGACAAGGCCATCAGCTGCGCTTCCCTGGTTCTAGGGCACACTGAGTGCCCCAGACAGGTGTCCATACTGTCCCCATCTGCTCTGCCTTACATAGCCTCTGCAGTCATTGTGCAATTCTGTGGCTCTGACCAGAGCCTGTGGATGGCCTCTCGGGGTCACCAGAGTTGCATCCTGTTGCCTTCATATGGAGCAAGAATTTTGCAACAGCAGTTTCTGCCCTGGAGAGCCTGTGAGAACTTCTCTTTGACAAACGCTGTAACAAGGTGTCCGAGGGTAGTAGGAGCTCCAAGAGCAGTCAAGGTAACAGAATCACCCTAAAGTGGAGCAGTTCCTTCTGGAGAACTGACTGACCCACACAAATTTGACAGAAAAAAAAAATTTTGTATTAGCAGGAATTCCAGCACACAGAATTCAGACCTTCCTGATAAACTGATGAGGGTGAGGTCACCAGCAGAAGCCCATTTTCAAAGAAGAAGCAAGATGTTCTTGGAAGAGAACCCATCACAGGAGAATCTAGGGCCAGGAAGGAGGGGGAGCTTGACCTCTTTCCCATTTGGAAAAAGGAAAAGGCAATGCTGAGTACCAGCCTCCAGCTCAACGTTGCCCCCTGCAGAATTCAATGGAGGGCAAAAAAGCTCTAAATAAGAATCAGAAAATTTTGTGACACTCTGTGGACCTTGTAGCAGAGGGTTCCACAGTGGTCACTTTAGACTACCCCATCAGCTGCCACTGTAAGTGGCCCCAGGGCACATTTCCAGCTCTAGCAGTGTCCACAGGAACACGTGGGAGACACTCCCACAGACTCCCCCCAATCCCTGAGGAGTCTCTGCAGGGACTGAAGCCCTGCGTGAGTGCGTGGAGTCTGAGACGGATAGAGAATGTTGTTGTCATGACTTCATTTGTGCTCAGAATCTAGGGATGCCCTGGGAAATCTGGGCAACGAAATCACATAGTTTTTAAAATTAGATGACAACAAGATATCCCCAGGCATATCAGTTTCTCCAAACTGTTGAGGCTTTTCATTATCAATAAACAAAAATGTATTAAGTATTCATAATACACTTCACACTGCGGTTGGTTTGGAGACATGAGATAAATATATATATATATATAAAATCACTGCCTTCAAGACATGGAAGAGGAAACAGCCAAACAGATGATTGACTACAAACCCCATAACAATCCTATGCAGTGTGTCTTTCCAGCTGGATGTGGTGGCTCGTGCCTGTAATCCCAGTGACTCAGGAGCCTGAGACAGGAGGATCGCAAGTTTGAAGCTAGCCTGGGCAACTTAACAAGACTCTGTTTCAAAATTTTAAAAAAAAAAAATAGGGCTGGAAATGTAGCTCAGTGGTAGAGAGAGTGTTTGCCTAGCATGGGCAAGGCCCTGGGTTCAATCCCCAGTGCCAGGGTGGGATGGGGGGACAAAAAAACTCCTGTTGAAAGCAGAAAGAAAATGGAGAGTTAGTCAACCAGACATAATGGCTGAGGAAGAGCATTCCAGGGACAGGGAAAGCATGCCAAGATCCCAAGAGAAAGAGAACAGCCCCCGGGGCACTGACAGCAAGCGACTCCCAGTGACTAGCGTTAAGGGTTCTGGGGCATGTTCTGAGGTAACGGGGCTGCAGAAGTAATAAGGATCAGCTGCAGGGACACAGTGTGCCCAGCTCAGAGCTGGAACCCAAGGGCAACAAGGATCCTTGAAGGGTTTTACAAGGGAAAGAAGGTGATCAAATTCACATTGTGGAAAGACCATTCTGTGAGCAGAGTGGAGGGTGAATTGAAGAGGGAAAGGCTTGAGGCAGAGAGGACTTGAGAGGAGATGGAAGGAGGGAGAGAGGAAGAGCAGCGGCCAACAGTGCTGAGCACATTTGAGTGCCCTCAATCAATCCCCATAACAACCCTATGCAGAGTGTCTTCTCATTATGCCCATTTCACAGATGATGAAACAGAGATGCAGTGAGATTAGAACTCCCGCCCAAGGTTCACAACTAGGAAGCAGCTTCTAACTCAGCCAACCCAGCTCCAGAACCCATGAGCATTGCATGGCTGTTTTTTTTTTTTTATTGATTTTATTTTTTTTAAATACACAACAGCAGTGGAATGCATTACAATTCTTATTACACATATAGGGCACAATTTTTCGTATCTCTGTATATAAAGTATGTTCAAAGTATGTATATAAAGTATGTTCAAAGGCCAATTTACACCTTTATACATGTACTTTGTGTTTTTTGCATTACGATTCTTAATACACATATATATCACAATTTTTCATATATCTGTTTATATATAAAGTATGTTGACACCCAATTCAAGTCTTCATACATGTACTTTGTATAATGATGTCCATCACATTCCACCATCCTTGCTCAGTCCCTGGCCCCCTCCCTTCCCCTCCCTCCCCTCTGCCCTATCTAGAATTAATCTAATCCTCCCATGCTCCCCCTCCCTACCCCACTATGAGTCAATCTCCTTATATCAGAGAAAACATCAGCATTTGTTTTTTGGGGATTGGCTAACTTCACTTAGCATTATCTTCTCCAATGGCCATCCATTTCCCTGCAAATGCCATGATTTTGTTCTTTTTTAATGCAGAGTAAAATTCCGTTGTGTATATATGCCACTATTGTACATCGAGAGTTCTCTAAGGTCATGGGATGGTGAGGAGGAGATAGTCAAGAGCAACACTGAGGAGAGGAATGCCTCGCTGGTAGGAACCAATGGGAACAGGAGACACCGGCCCGTAAGGCACTAGCTGAAGCTTGGGAGGCAGGCGGACTTACCCTCGGGAGAGGAGAAAGGCCCAGGGTAGAAGCCTGGGGAACACCCATATTTGAGGATGAATTGAGATATAAAGCAACAAATGAACCAAGAGAAATTTACGGGAAATAAATTCAGTGACACAGAGATCAAGGTAAGACCTACACAGTCAGTTTTTCACCCTAGTGTTTAAAAGCTTACTACAGAGCCTGGGGGTGTCCCTCAGAACTAGTGTGTTGACTAGTATGTGTGAGGCCCAGTACCAGGGGAAAAAAAAAGTGCACAGGAGGCTGAGAGAAAATATTTTAATATAATCAACAAACATTCAAAATGTAATACTCCCATAATATATAAAAAGCTCCTGCAAATCAATGGTAAGTGGGACAATCCTACACAAAGGGAAAACAGAAAAGAATTAGTAGCTCGAAAAATACAAACCTCAACCTCACCAGCAATCAAAAACACAAAATTTTAAAAGTGAGATATCATTTCCTGTTATCTGATTGAGAAAACCATTGACTGTGTACCATGCTCAGAGTGAATATACAGGTTAGAGGCCCTTTGATAAACTGATGATGGGACAGTAAATTGGCACCATGTTTTTGAAAGTCAATTTAGTAGTATTTATCAAAATTTAAATGTACACAAGTATCACCCACCAAAATTATACCTGAGCTGCAGAAATACTCATACAAATTCCCAAAGGATGTTCATGGTAAGAACCTAAATACTCATCTATAAGGCAATTATCAAATAAATGATGCCTACTCTGGCTATTGTGTAGTCATTGAAAAGAATAAGATGGATCTATAGGGGCTGGGGTTACGGATCAGCAGTAGAGCACTCGCCTCTCACGCGCAAGGCCCTGGGTTCTTTCCTCAGCACCACATAAAAATAAATAAATAAATAAATAAATAACGTTTTTGTGTCCAACTTCAACTACAAAAAAATAAGTATTAAAAAATAGATGGATCTATATATACTGATGTAGAACAGATCCACAAGGCATTGTTAAGTGTACAGCAATCGAATTAATAAAAATATCTTCATTTATTAAAGAAAGAAGGAAGGAAAATATATGTTTGTGTTTGTATGAAGGAAAATCTGGAAAGTTCTACAAGAAGCTATAGAGAGTCATTTCCTTGGTGAAAGATATGGGTGAAGAGAGAAAGGGAAAGGATCGGAAGGGAGACTTTCAAGTTTGACTTTCTATGCTTTTTCTATTGTTTGTATTTTTTATAATACGCATTGCTTTATTTTTATAAT